AATCATAATCTATGTCTACTGATTACAGTTTACGTCCATCATAGATAAGAATGTCCATAGTCCATATTTAAATAAAATACATTATAAGAACCCGAAATGAAAGTGTCAAACAACTTAATCTGTACAATTACAATTATTAAATGTATGTTCGAAAGACAGCATTTAGAAATTGTGTTTATTAATTTTTAGTGAAAACGAAATTCTTGTTTTTGAAATAAACAGTTGACGATTTTACCTAAAGTAAATTAGATTGTATGCAATTATATAGCGCGCCATATATTTTGTTTTTTATCAACAATGTTATAAATTTAGTTGGCAAAGAAATCTCAATTATTATTGATAAAGATAATTATTATACTATTATATATAATTATTTATAGGTATCGCGAAGTTAATGCAAATTGCCTTAAGGCAAAATACTACTTGCAGCTATTATTAACTTTCCTTAGTAATAATAGTAATCGCAAAAAAATCGTCAATGAAAATTTTTATATATCTTTACGTTTCAAAGGTTTCTGAATATATTAGCATACCTTAGAAAAAATGGATGTATGTGTGTGTGTGCGGCTACAAATTTTCGTCGACGATTTCGGCAACACGGATGCAGCGATTTAAATAATTCGAAATATTTGATTCGTATTGATAAGGAGACGTGCTGATTTGTTTTTGGAGAAGGCAGGTCTATCCGTTCCGAAGATATGGGGCAAAAAGTGCAAAAAACGGTAACTCAGTTTTTAAGAGAACGGAGCGTCCGATTAGAATAATTCAGAAAACATTTTACTTGTATTACCAAGATGAAGAACTGATCAAATTTTTATGAAGGCAGGTCTAGCGGTTTCGGAGATCCAATGAAAAAAGTAAAAAAAATGCCATTTAGCGGTCAAAAATGATCATTAGACATATGCACATCAAATTATAAGATATTTTATAGAGATTTTAACAATAAGTATAAGTAAGTCAAAAAAAGTAAATTTTGTCAAAAATTTATAGCTACTCAAAAATCTATTTTTATTTCAGAGTAATTTTTTTTTTCAAAAATGTTAATCTTTTTAAAAAAAAATAATTTTTGGTACGGGAAGTTCCAGCAATTTGCCTTCAGGCACGATGCCATGCGCCCCACTAGTATTTATTATTTATTTATCCTATTTGCATAGAAATATGATAGGAATCGCTCAGTTATCTCGACGTCATGCAATAATTTCCAGAATGGACCCGTAGGCCGAAGCTGTAACTAGATGCTTGTTGATGGGTCATGGGTTGATGGGTCGAGGAGAATGGGTTGTAAATTTCATGCATGCCGAGAATCATTTACAATTAAAAAGACAGATTACATTGTCCTTGCACAGGAGGATACATTAGTAGGATACATTAGTTAAAATGATGGAATTGCCTGTTTCACTACACTACCAAAGTAATAATTTAGGAAAAGGTACATATGAACTATGGCAGTAATTAAAGTAATAGTAATATAAGTTTTTAACTAGTGAGTAGAAAAAGAAATATAAATCATTTTATTTCCATACCTATACTGGTATGTTTCTATCAACTAGCAATAAATGAATGAAATGTGATTTTGATATCTTTTAACAAGAGTTAAAAATTTCTCATTTAGCAATCAGAAATTCATAAAAATTTCAATGAGCTAAATTGGCAATATTTGAGAGCGAGGTCTAAGAAGAACTCCAATGAGATCTTCTTAGTTTTGCAAATGATATGATAATTTTATTACCAATGTCGTTTCAATCTTCTTATGCCAAATGGTTAAGTCATGTCACCTAATGATGGGTAAATTGGTAAGATGCGTTGATAAAGTCATCAATTACATCAATCTAAGTAAACCACGTAAATTATTACCTCACAAAGTACTCCATTTCGATAGATATGTACATATGGAGAGTAAATATCGACTCTATCCAGAGGCAAGAGATGGAATATGGACATGTAGCTTCTGGCTTGGAAACGGATGCGAATTATAGCCGCCCGAATGACTAAATCGATACTGAAGATCGATGTTCAGGTCAAATTCAAGACATGATAATCCCATCTCGATATGTACATTGCAGGAAAAATAGTTACCTTTACTTTATATAATAAAATTCTAGAAAACTAGTGGGGTGCATGGCATCGCGCCTTAAGGCAAATTGCTGGAACTTCCCGTACCGTAATTGAAAATCTTGGTACAAAAAAAAAAAATTGTACAAAATGTGTACACATTGAGGAAAACTCTATAAAATATACGGGAAGTTAATTAGATTCTTCAACATACCTTTATTGGCACTATTTGTAAATCGAAGTAAAAATCTGATTATATGAAATTTAGGAATTGCTCACAGCAGATATATAAACAATATGCTATAATTGTCAGAAGTATCTTAAGACGTTAATCAAGTTGAAGATTACTTATTAAGTAATTGTAAAATTACTTATTAAGTAAAAATTATTTTGCAAGGAATTCTTATGTACTAACTTTGTTTTATTTATCAAACCTTTATAAATAACCCATGTCATAGAATTTTGTATTTATTCAATATTGCCAACTGAGAGCATCGGTGTGGCTCAGCCAATAGGGTGGATGAATAGTGACTTTTTTTTGTAATATCTAAAAATATTCGTCAAAGACACATGTGCAGACATTTCAGAGTGTGGAGATGGCTACATATGTGATCAATGCAGATTATTTTGAAATGTCCGGTACTTGATGCCACTGTTTAAAATCATCTTTTTTGATACCAAAGTTTGATTGATAGTATTAATTATTTTTTAGCAAAGATTGCGGTTTTGTTAATTTAGTTTGATTTCTAACTTTGTTATCTAACATAAATCATAATTTGATAAATATTTCGTTAAATATTTTTGATTTATTTATAAATAACCTTAGGTGTCCGCCACTAGGGGACTTCCCCCTAATACAAAGTATCTGCGATGATATTTAAGTGTTGTAAAAAATAAAATAAAATATGTGGATGAAAACAATGAAGATATCACAATATTTTGTAATTAATTACGTCTGAGATAACATGCTCCAAAAAATTAAGATCAACATTTTTTTAATATTAATCATTAAATAATCGCCATAAATAGTAAATCCTTTTATCATGCATTGCTTCACATATAAACAAAACAAGTCTGCAGTTCAAGATACAGAACAAAAATGTTTAATAAATATGTCATATTTTCAGCAAATCGTGATCAATTTTTTAATCAGAATGACTTATATATATATATATATATATATATATATATATATATATACATAATTTTATCTTAATATTGATATGCCCAATCGAGCACGAGCTCGATTCCTATCAATAAAATTTATCGTTATTTCGAAACTCAAATTCCAAAAATGTCGGTAAATCTGATTGTTTTACATGTAACAATGATAAAATTCAAATTTTCAGAGATTTTTGGAACAGATTTTGTACACGCGATCAAATACACATGACTCTACATTTTACACAAAATTGTTAACAAATTAGAAATAACTTTTACTATCTTTGAATTTAGCTTTCTTATTTTACTAATTAATAATAAAGAAATTTTAAAATAAAACGTTTCTAGTAAAATTAAATTTAACATTCATTTAGCAATCTTTATGTAATTGTAGCAACATGTGTCTTTGAAATAAGCACAGAAAACAGCTATATTAAGTGAAGCAAAATAAAACTAAAAAGATGAAATTTTGATAATTTCATGAAAATTTTCATTTTTTTTTTCTTATGTATTACCTTTATAAATATTCATATTATTAAGAAATAGTTCTTATATTGAGCTTTTTCATAATTCTTTATCTAAAAATATGTAAACAATACAAGGCTTTATTATTCTTTTCGATTCTGGAAATGGTAAAATTGTTCAATTATTAATCCAAATATAAAACAACTGGACTTCTGCAAATAAAAACTAATTGCAAACGATAAATAATATTAATATTTTTATCTTTTTATCACAGAGCTTTGTCGTTTTTCATCCATGGCCATTGATAAGGCAGGTTAACGGTTGGAAGTATTCGATTTATTATAGAATTCTTCATTAGTGTGTTAACTTTCGTGGGTTAAGGTAAGAATTTTTATATAATTAAATATTACTTTGACTCGACAATTGCGAATTAATTTTAAATTATTTATTTGATGCAATAAACCTTCCAATAAAATATTCCAAAGTTTATGAAAGTATTTAGTGTAATAAATGTGATTTCTAGAAGCATTTCATGTAATGTTAGCTTACGATTTTTGCATATGATTAGTTCAACATTTTTTTAAAGTGTATGTATGTTTTTAATTTTTCTGTTAGTTTTAACCTCAATCTCTATACTAACTTTTCATTTATATGTCGTTTTTATATACGCTTTTCCTAATAATAAAATATAATAATCTCTTCTTTTTGCCCTTCATGACCGTTTTTATTAAAATTATTTCATTTTTCTAATGTATGTTTGAATTTAATTGCAATTATTTAAAAAAAATTAACAATTTTTAAGTCGCCATAAACTGTAATAGCAAAAAATTAAAATTATGAAAAAATCGGACAAAAATTTAGTCAAGTTAATATTGCATTATGTTATTCATATATGACTTTCTACTCCCAAATTATAATTTCTACTTTTCATTTTTGTCGTTAAAGGATTTCAATCTTATGTTGTTTCGTATTTCACGATTATTTTAAAAATTTTGATCGTATCATTTGTATCTTATATTTTTACAACTTCGTCATCCAATAAAAATCATTCTGGATAAATCCAATATTGTGTAAATCATGACAAGACAAAGATTCACACGTACGATATTGATTTGGAGCAATCTTTTTTATCTTATCATTAATTTATTACCAAATCTATAATTTTACGCATAAAGCCGTTGTGCAAGATATTTTTTATCAAATATTACGTCAAAATTATAAGACGTATGTATAGCGGTAACGCTTTTGGAAAATAATTACAAAATAATAATAAATGATTTTTCTGAATTTTTTAAATAATTTAAATATAATATTTTCCACAGAATGCAAGCCCCAGGAATAATTTTGTCGTTAATTTTTTTGGCGACCTGCGTTTTAGCTGGTCCAACCACTCCAAGAAAAGATGTTAGCCCACCAGTTGTCGATACAAAATATTATCGATTACCAAAAAATATAAAACCTCTACAATACGATGTTACACTCGAAACTAGATTAGATCCAGAATTCAACTTCAATGGGTCAGTTGTCATACATTTGACGCCTTTGGAAAACACCAAAAATATAACATTACATCACAGAAGATTAAGAATAAAAGATGATTCAATTAAAGTCCATGATAGTAGTGCAAATGATGTAAATCATTTGAAACCTGAGTATAATAAAGAGCTTGAACAGTACACCATCTTTTTCGACAAAGATTTAAAAAAAGATTTAAAATACTTCCTATTCATCGAGTTTGAAGGTGACTTGGACAGAAACATGGATGGTTTTTATAGAAGTTTCTACAAAAAGGGCGAAACAATTGAGTAAGTATAATCTATTCACAAAATAAAAATGAAGGAACAAATAAGATAGACAACTTTTTGTCGTTGTCTATCAGTTATATATTACAATTTTTTTTCAATAAATCTGTTAAGTCTATTTTTATACCTTCGTCAGCAATCGAGACAAATATTTAAAATTTTAGGATTCCTTCTTGTTTTGATTTGATTTTTTTTTATTCAATTTGCTAATCTATACATCTTAGTTTTAGATTACCAAATTACAAACTTTTGGATAGAAACTGCAGTTTCTATCTCTCAATCTCTATGAGCCCTAAGATCTCTAAAACTTAAAACAGTTAATCTCAAAAGTATTTTCCAAAGTTTTACAGATTTCGAAAAAAATGGAAGATAAACAAATATATATTGAGATTAGTTCAAATCATTTTGTACCAATATAGATCTATATTAACACAGTCTTAAATTAATTTTAGGTGGTTGGCATCAACGCAATTCGAATCAACTTCAGCAAGAATGGCTTTTCCCTGTTTCGACGAACCTCATCTTAAAGCAGTTTTCCGACTTACTTTAATAAATGACAAAAAATATTCTGCTATATCTAATATGCCAATAAAGGCAGCAGATAAAGTGTAAGTAGCACATTATTTTTCTATAATAATAAAATTATTTTAAAATAACATATGATGTCAATATTGACATCTAGGACCAACTTGATTTCTTATTATATTTTGTCCATTTCTCTACAGAGATTATAACGACACCCTTATAAGTACGGAATTTGACGATACACCACTAATGTCAACTTACTTGCTGGCATTTGTAATTTCGAAATACGAACACAAAAGTAATGGACCAGATTTTGAAGTTTATGCTGAAAAAGATGATTTGGAAACAGCCGAATATGCAAGAACTAAAGGAAAAGAAATTTTACAAAGTCTTGAAACATATCTTGGCATCAAATTCGAAATTCCAGTGATGAAGCAGATTGGAATCCCTGATTTTGCTGCAGGTGCCATGGAGAACTGGGGTTTGGTAACTTATAGGTAAAAATCTGAGCCATTTAGCAAATGAATATATCTTTAGAAAATTTGGAATTATCAAATTTTTTTAATAGGGAAACGCGATTGCTGTACAAGGAAGGACATTCGACCATGTCTGATAAAAAGGCAGTAGCTTGCGTTATTGCTCACGAATTCGGTCACCAATGGTTTGGAAATTTGGTGTCACCTGAATGGTGGGAATACATTTGGTTAAATGAAGGATTTGCCACATTTTTCGAATATTTTGCAGCAGATAAAGTAAACTATTTTTATAAATTAGTAGAGATCTATCCAGTATGAATTTTTTCTATGGTATTACTATTTTCAGGTGGAAAAGAATGGCGTCTTATGGAGCAATATGTGGTTGACACATTGCAATCTATTTTTGCGGCAGACAGTTTGGAAACCACTCGTCCAATGAATTATGGCGTACAAAGTCCTCAACAAATCAAATCCGTTTTTGATGGAATTGCTTATGATAAAGGTAAATTTGTAGAATTGTTTTTATATTGGTTGAAGCACATTGATCTTTGGTAAATATATCTGATCTTAAATAATAAAATTTCCAGCTGGAACCGTAATCAGAATGATGCAACATGCACTCACAGATGCAGTATTCAGCAAAGGATTGAACACATATCTTAATAATAAGTTAGTATTGAATATTACTAAGTTTTTTCATTAATTAATGCAAGAACTTCAGTGGCAATGAAAAACTTTTTTTTAAATGTTGTGCCAATAATTCTACAGGTATGCATTAATCATATCTTTAAATTTGCTGCCTTTTTTCAGAAATCACTCCCATGCAAACCCGAAAAATCTTTACGATGGTCTGCAAACACAAGTAGCAAAAGTAGAAGGCACTTTGCCAAAAGATCTAACAGTTGAAAAAATTATGGATTCCTGGGCAAACCAAAAAGGATATCCAGTAATCACAGTGGAAAGAAATTACGAAAAGAACACAGCAACCATCAAACAAGTAATTTAATATGAAATTAATTAATACCTTCGAATAAGATAATAAAAGCAAAATTTTTGTAGGAACATTTCTTACTGAACAAGAAAGTAGTTGACGACAAACAATTTTGGTGGGTTCCAATAAATTACGCGAGTGCTAAAGAAACTAGCTTTGATGAAACCAAACCTACATTCTGGCTTGATAATACTGGAAAACCATTTACATTTAACTTGACAGAAACAGAAGAAGATTGGATCATTTTCAACAAACAACAAACAGGTACATGAATAAAAAAATAAAATTGATATCATATTAATTGATCCAGTTATATGTTTTCATTCTAAATTGATGCACATTTCCCATTAGGTTACTACAGAGTCAATTACGACGAAACAAACTGGAAGTTGATCACAAATGTCTTGAAGACAAAGGATCAAATGAAGAAAATTCATCCAGTAAATCGTGCTCAATTAATCGATGATGCTCTGAATTTGGCAAGATCAGGAAGATTGCCTTATAGCACAGCAATGCAGTTGGTCACATATTTAGCAGATGAAGATGATTATATACCTTGGGTTTCGGCCAACAATGGACTCATGTACTTGGACAGACTTTTGGCCAACAGCGAGGGATATGATGATTTTAAGGTAAAAATGAATAAAAACAATTTGTATTAAAGTAGGTTTTTAAAGATTAACAGAAGCCATCGTTATTATTGACTATTTTCTTATTTTTTCTTCTAGAAACTTGTTAGTGTTGCTGTAGATGGTCTTTACAAGAGTACTGGATTCGATGTGAAACCAGAAGACAAACAAGATAAAATATTCGCCAGAAATATCGCTCTAACATGGGCTTGCAAATATGACATTTTAGAATGCAGACAAAAAAGCTCAGAAAAATATGAATCTTGGAAGAATGGTACAGCAGTATCAGCTGATCTACAGAAGTTGGTATATTGCAACGTACTTAGAATGAACAAGAATTCATCGGCAGAGTGGGATTATCTCTGGAATAAATATACAAATAGTACAGTAGCATCAGAAAAAGTTTTGTTGTTGTCTGCTTTGGGATGCACAGAAAATGAAGATTTGCTCAAAGGGTAAGTAGAATCATTTTTAGAAGAAATTACTTACTATTTACAGTAATCAGAACTTCACATTAATAGGCAAATTAAATTAAATAAAGATTAACAGATATGACTTTAAAAAATTGACATAACATTTTTTTAAATCTTAACAAAAATGTAAAAATTCTGACCTTTTAAATCTAGATTTCCAAGTTCTAAATCTCAAACTCTGAAGTTGGTTTACAATGATATCCATATCTATAGATCCTGAAAAAAGAGAAAATTTAATTTAAAATCATGTGTTTCGAAAACCAATTATATATATAGTATATTGTATATAAATATTTAATTATAATTTTTATTTTTAGTTATTTAGATAAATCTCTAAACGATACCAAAATTAGAGACCAAGATAGAGCAAGTGTTATGAGCGCCGTATACACTTCTGGACCAGTTGGTTTAAAAGTAGCTTTAGCATACGTAGGCGAAAAATTATTCGAAGTTAATGCAAAGTAAGTAATGATATAAATTAATATAATAATATTATAAAGATAGCTATTAACATTTCCTATTTGTTTTATAGATACAGCGTCGGCAGTGTCTTGTCAGGCATTTCCACCAGATTAACTACAGAAACAGAAAAGAAACAGGTAAGGCTGATCAATGCATTTTATCAAGAGAAAAATTTCATCACTTCATAGAATTCTAGACATGACTCGTTTCATACTCAATCTTATCGCTGTTTCATAATCAATATCAATTAAATGATATAACAAAGGTATCGTAGATAATTCTTTAGATAGTAGATAATTTCTTACTGTTTTACAAAAATTAGTACAGAAGCAATCCATTTTCATTTCTTATTTTTCTTATTTTACCAGATTGAAAAAATTATCAACGATCACAAAGACGATCCTAAATTCGAATCAATAAAGGCATCTGCAGAATCTGCTCTTAAGAATGTTAATGACAACATGAATTGGTTGAAGGAACATGAAGAAACCATTGCAGGATGGATGGCTGACCATCATAGAGGTAGTGCCCACAAATTTTCAGGAAGTATTTTAATAACGATAGCAATCTGCATGTTTGCTTATTTAATTTAAACATCAGAATCACTTTTAATATTTTTAAGATCACCCATAGAATAAAAAATCAAAATACTACCCATTAATCTGCACTAGTGGTGAGAAAATAATTTTGTATGTAAATATATTTTTGTGGTTTTCATTTTGCATGTATAAATATATTTTTATATTAAATCTATCATGTTAAAAAGCTGTTTTATATTAAAATTTTGCACATATATATTTATATGTTCAGTATTAGTACTTGCATGTACATAAGTGTAGAATTTATACATTTTATTCTGTTTGTTTCGCTATATTTTTATAGTATCTTGTGATAGTTATTAATTAATTATTAATTAGTAATTAATTATTTAACAGACAGTACAATGATGTGTTGTTGAAAAAATATCTATATTTTGTACTGGCGTATAATTTGTTATGATAAATACATGATTTTTATTATTATTTTTTATTCTAATTAAAAAAAAATATTAGTAATTTCATAAATGTTTAATGATTAGCAATTGACCTTATTGAATACCGTTATTTACATTTTAAATAAAATGACATATTATACAATTATATATATTTATATTTTATTTTTTGTTTATTTATATAAACATGAACTATTTTGTCGATAAAGCATTTATTAGCTTTTGAATGGTTTAATTGAGAGCAACAAAAAATTTACAATAAATCAGAGATGCAAATGCAAATGTCTCTAGATTTTGAAAAAAAATAGTTTTACAATTAGGTGAACAATTTATATTATAAATGCATTACTTTCGCAAATGTTTTCTCATTTCAGTCACAAAAAGGAAGTTATGAATGATCAGGTACACACCTAATATTTCTCTTTAAATTACTAAAATCTATTATTCACTTTGTTTAAAATATGATTAGATATGTATGCATATGACACCATTACTCATAACATCACATAATTTTTTAGTCTTGATTTAAAATTTAAAACAAATTTCAGTATGTTTTTTTAAATCCTTTATTGATTCATCCATGGGATTTCAAAAATTTTATTAACAAAGCTGCTAAAATATTAACTTCATCATAAATTCACATCATTTTACAATAGCAACTATCATTACCATGGTTAGAAAAATTTCAAGTGCATTTCAGCATTATCAACGTTTGCACTTCACTGATATAATAATTTTTATAAACTATTCTATATAAACCAAACCCATGATTGTCTCACCTGGTAGTATTTTTTAGCCGGAAAAATGTCCAAATTAACATTATTTCATTTAAATATCCTTATTTTATACTATATTTATAGTGTGAGTGCAAATGATAGTGATTACAGATTACCAGGAGACATTGTGCCAAGGTTAATATAAAAATTGTATTAGGAAATTTATATTGGATAATGGATTTAATTTTTGATTTTTTTTTTCAAAAACTTTTTAAATTTTGTATTTTACTAGTTTTGACTGTAGATGAAATATTTAGATATTTGCATATCTGAAAAATAAAATTTAGAAATTTTGCATTCTATATTTTAGAAAATATGTAGTCGAATTGGAAACAAAACTAGTGCCAAGTTTTGAATTTAGCGGATCTGTCTCCATCCTAATTGAAGTTATAAAACCTACGACTGTTATAAGTTTGAACTCATATAGACTAGTTTTTTTCAATGACAATGTTAAACTCAAAACTAAATCTAGACGAGAAATTAAAGTAGCAATGGTGCACATAGATAATACCTATCAAATTGCGGATATATTAGTTGTTGAAAAATTGGAAAAGGGAAAGGAATATATTTTGGAAATAAAAGGCTTCAAATCTACTTTGAGAGATGACATGGCTGGCTTCTACAAAAGTTCATACAAAACGCCAAAAGGAGAAACAAGGTAATAAATATGAGATGGTTTTGAAAAAAAAAATTGTTCAGAAATCAATTTCGACCTAGTAAAATTCTCAAAAATTTAAAAATTTGTTTTGACTATCAAGCTGCCACCAGAGAAGTTCCCACCAGAGAAGCACAGCTGATTTTCGCGTTAGTTAATATTTAAATATATAAAAAAACCTTTATTGAGAATTTATCACTTTTGTGCCATGGATTTTTTAGTAAAATTTCTTAAAATGACCCATAAAAATAAAATCACAATTTGCCCTAACGAACAAAAATTTGGCCCATTATCATGTATTGAGAAAAAGATTAATTAAAAATTTATCTGTCTTTGAATTCATTTTTAAACCATGGTTTCTTCAGTAAAGTTTCTTAAAATGGCCCATAAAACCAAATTACGATGTGCTCTAATGGCCAAAAATTTGACCCATTATTCAAACATATAAATGCATTGAATTACATTTTATTTGAACTCAAACAAGAACTTGATAAAAATTTAATTTTCATACAAATTTTCCACTGATCTATTATATCTTCAAGAGCATAATTTTTACTTTCTAATTTTATAGTATTTTATCATAAATGCTCTTCAGAAAATCGATAAAAAGCTCCAACAAAAATGTTATCAGCGCTCTTTTATAAATGTCTACAATATCTCTAAAAATGATAGTTAAATGCATGACCTTCAATTATATTAAGTATTAGATAAAAGAACTATGACTTAACTCTAATCAGTATGAAATATTAAAATATTAACTTGGCATGAATTAATTTAGAGAGACTAATAGTAACAGTATTTTGCTTCAAACCGGTTATAACAAAATTACGGAAATGGGTGAAAATTGATGTAAAAGTTGTCTGTATTGATTGTATGCAATTGTATGATTGTATTTAATTAACCAAAAAGTTTTAACTTTTCAGATGGTTGGCTACAACCCAGTTTCAGGCAACTCATGCCCGTAGTGCTTTCCCTTGTTTCGATGAACCAGCAATGAAGGCCCATTTCGAAATCAGCCTTATACACCATGAAAAATTGAAAGCAATTTCCAATATGGGTGTAGCAAAGGAAGAAAACTTGTAAGTATACATTGTTAAATAAAGGGTCCGCCATCTAACTTTTGCAGCCATTTTGAATCTTTAGCATCCATTTTGATTTTTTGGCAACCATTTAAAAGTTAGGCTGCCATTTGCATTTCCCTTACAAACCAAAACTATTATTTCAAATTAAAAAAAATCAGTAGTTTTTCATAGAATTTTCAAAAAAATAAGTTATTTGGCAGACCCTATACTAAAACTCATCAATTACACTAAAAACCAAGACTTATTCTCGAATAAACTTCAACGTGCAAGAACGAGGAACAAGAAAAGTCCTAACTAATATTCCAAATTTTCCAATAAGTTGAAAAAGTTTAGTTTATCACCAAAACTTTGAAAATTTTTGCTCAACTTATAAAGCAGAAATAAATTCAATATTTATATTTGATTATTATTTCCAGAGATAACAACCGAAAAAGAACAACATTCGAACAATCAGTTCTCATGTCTCCATACCTGGTGGCGTTTATTATCTCAGATTTCGAATATGTAGAAAAAATTTCAGGACCAGTAAAATACAGAATATATACTGATCCTTTCTCGATTGATCAAGCTGACTATGCATTGACTATGAGCCCAAAAATTTTAACGGCTTTGGAACAACTCACAGGTGTAAAATATGTTTTGAACAAGTTGGACCAAGCAGCCATTCCAGATTTTGCTGCTGGAGCTATGGAAAATTGGGGATTGTTAACATACAGGTTGACAGATAAAAATTAATAATTTTTGTATTTAGAATTAACTGACTGTAATGTTTCTAGAGAATTGTTTTTATTATATAACAAGAATGAATCGACAACTAAAAGCAAGGAGGAAATTTTGAGTATAGTTGCTCATGAAATGACTCATCAATGGTTTGGCAATTTGGTGACTTGCGACTGGTGGGAGCATACTTGGTTGAATGAAGGATTTGCCAATTACTTCCAACACTATATTCCATCACAGGTAAAAATAACAAATTTCGGGATAAAATATTCAATTAACAATGTTTTCACCCGTGAGCGAATAACAATACTACTCAAAACATGTTGGAGAAAACTCTTTGAATTGAGCAATAGAATGTCTCAAATTCGATCTTAATAGAAACAATTTTTTATATTTTTTTATGTAATCCGTTGAATCTGATTATGTGAATTTCACAACGAACATCTCAAAAACTGTTATGCAAGGATAATATTTCATTTTTCTCATTTGCACGAGATCAGATTATAATCCAACACCGATTTTTCCTTAAATCAAAGCATCTATCAATCTAAAAGAAGGACCTTGATGTTTCCCACATATTTTTTGGGTTTAGATTTCCTTTTATCCTTCGTTTGAAAAGTGACAAATCTCTCAAGAAATATTGTTGTACATATATTTTATATGCTATTAACCTTACAGATAGAACCTTCCTGGAGAATATTGGATCGTTACATTGTGGATGTAACTCAAAGGGTTTTACTAAAGGATGCTTTGCACACGACGAGACCGATGTCACATCCAGTCGCAAGTCCTTCAGAAATATCGGCGGTTTTTGATTCCATTTCTTACGAGAAAGGTGAACTTGAAAAATAATAAATGGTGTAGCAATTTTAATCTTGTATATAAACCATTTTTAAAAAATTAATGTATCTTTTGGTATTAAATTAATATTATTGTATTTATATTTCCGCAGCAAGTTCTGTAATTCACATGATGATGCACGCTTTCAACATCGAGAAATTCATGAAAGGCCTCCATGAATATTTAAAAACTTAGTAAGTCTCATTGCAAATAAATTAAACAAAATAAATATTTATTCATATTTATTTCTATTTTAGTTCTTTCAAATCTACAATTCCCAAAGATCTATTCGACGTGTTAGCCAATGAACATAATGGGACCACAGATATTCCTAAAGAGACTACCTTACAAGAAATTTTCAAAAGTTGGAGCACCCAAGCCGGATTTCCTTTAGTCACTGTAACTAGGGATTATGCCACTGGTGCAATGACACTCTCACAAGTAAAATAGTTAATTTAATTTTAATTAATATTATATTCCAATATAATAATAAACTTTCTTCTCCTGCTTTCTTGGACAAAATGTTACAATCTCATGTTCATACGAAATATGCCACCAACGTTAATCAAATTTTATATCCTCCTTATGCAGAGAGCAATAAAATCTATATTATTAAAATAAGCATTTCCAATCAATAAAATATTTTTACAGCTTTGAATCAGCATAATGAAACATTATGTATTCGTGAAATTTTAGGAACGATATTTCAATGTTCAACCCGAAGAAAAAGACAAATCTGCGTGGTGGATACCAATAAACTTCATGACCTCGGAAAACATAAATTCCTCGGATACAAAACCAACTCATTGGATGAATAAAGATGGAAAACCTTTGACTATTGAAGTAGGAAATAAAGATGGATGGGTTATTATAAATAAACAGAATTCAGGTAAATTAATTGCACCTGTATACACTACCCAAACGTAAAAAAAACATTCCAAAAGTGAATGAGAGAATTAGGAAACTCAAATTGCTCCATGTTTAGTAAATTTTTGTTAAGAGTTATTTCCAAATTCTATTTCAATCATCCAATTTTTTTCCCAAGGTTACTATCGCGTGAACTACGATAAGGACAACTGGAAAAAGCTTGCAGATGTCTTGAAAAGTCCTGAATTTGAAAAAATCCACGTACTCAACAGAGCCCAAATTTTAGACGATTCTCTAAACTTGGCCAAAACTGGAAAACTTGATTATGAATTGGCCTTAGACATTTTAGATTACTTGCACCACGAATTGGATTACGTGGCTTGGAAAGCAGCTGAAGAAGATCTCAATTTTCTCGATAATATGCTGAGTGGAACAAAAGTCTACCCCAAATTTAAGGTAAAAGTAAAATAGTACCTCCTAAAGATTTTTGGTGGTATTTATATTTTTTCTTTATTTTTAGAAATTTGTATTGCATTTAGTGAACAAAGTTTATAATAAAATGGGATTTGAGCAACAAGATGCTAATGGGCACATGGACGTTTTCACTCGCATAAATGCTCTAACATGGGCTTGTAAAATGGACCTTCCAGAATGTCTTGGCAAGTCTCATGATCGTCTTACTGCCTATATGAGACCTCCATATGTGAAAGTTCCACCAAATTTACACAATGTAGTATATTGCACTGGATTAAAACATGGTGGTAAAACAGAGTGGGACTTCTTGTGGAAAAAATATCTTGATAGCCACTTGTCTTCTGAAGCAATAATCTTGTTAAATGCTTTGGGTTGTAGCAAAGATCCTGATATTTTAAGGAGGTTAGTAGTGAAAAATACACAACTCCAAATCCGATTGTTTCATTTTCACATTTCTACTCACAGCTACTTGGAAAAAACTGTAGAACCTGATTCGAAAATCAGAGATCAAGATAAATTCCGTGCTATGTATTCTGTAATCAGACAAGGAAGTGATGGAGTGACAATTGCATTAGAATTTATGCGTAATAAATTGCCAAAAATGATTGAACAGTGAGTAGATATTGATAGATGTGAATTTTTATAATTCAGCATTCTAAAATGATAATTATTTTCTAGATATACAAGCTTGAATGCGCTCAAAAAAGTTTTCGAAACTGTAGGCGCAGCAATTTCAAACGAAAAACAAGAAGAACTGGTAAGTCCAGGTATTTTTTATCATTTGGATGTATTTTTAATATTTCATTTTATATTACAGCTTCGTGAAATTATTGCTAAATACAATTCTACATTTTCGGATTCCCTAATGCAAGGTGCAAAAACTGCTTTAGATGCCATGGAAGATAATAAAACTTGGAGAGATAAAAATTTAGCTACTGTGACAAGGTGGTTTGAAAAACAGCCTGAAGTTTATCCTAATAATGCAACAAAACTAGTCCAAAGTATTTTATTATTACTTGTATTGATATTCAATATTGTATTTATATTTTAATATATAACATCAGTAATACAAGAAAATTTATTTATTAAAATAAAATAGAGTAAAATACTCGTACATTGTGTTTGTGTTTATGAAAATAATTTATGTATTTGTTATGCAGCCAGGTGCTTGAGACAAAAAATTTATATTAGTACCAGTTTTGTAAAAAATCAATGAACCAATTGTATTGTATATTGTGTCTACTGGTAAATACAGACCCAATAATTGGCCATAATTGAAATATATTGGAAAAATTCAAATAACGTTTTAGTTTTTCATCTATTTCAAATTCAAAGGTTCCAAAATATATTATTTTGAGAAATTTTGAAGACCCTCAGAAAATGGTCAAAAAAAATGAATTTTCAAGGTCATTTTTTCTATAGTTTCACTCGTTGTCCATTTCAGGACAGGTGTAAAAATTACTATATAATAATAAAAAAACAATGATTTAATTTTTAGAGTTAGTTGTTGCGACGAAAAGTAAGCTTGAATTGAAGAGCCACTTTCACATTTTCAATGATATTTCCGCCAAACGATAAGATAGAGAGTTAATTTGGTTTATATATTATTTTTTCGAAAATTGTTCAGATATCAGTGGCCATTCTTCAAGGCAAGGTGCCCTACCCATGAGGTATACTAGTAAATTTTAAGGTCTACTTTTAAGATCAATGATATTTCCGCCTAATGATAAGGTAGAAAGTTGAGAATTGGTATATAGATTTGTTTCGAAAATCGTTTAAATGTCAGGGGTCCCTTCTGCTTGGCAAAGTTCCTTACCATTAAAGGTGTGTTAGTAAATTTCAGAACCTTAAGGTCCACTTGCATAATATTTACATAAGACACGTGCACAGTGATTTGTCAAAGTGACATTTATAAAAAATTGTGCAAAAAATAACATTTGTGCAAATTTTGAGAATTTTAAATAAATATACTGCGCACTCTACATCAAATAACAGCAACAGAAGCCAATGGTTAGAATAAAAGCTAGAAATTTCTTCTACATCCAACAGATTGCCTTAATCATCATCTTGTGATTAATAGTATATTAGCCTCTTGCAAAAAATATTTACTTTTTTTCAATTTTATTTTGCGACTTACATAAATAGCACAAAATCCATGCCAAAAATAATTGGTGAATATGCAAAATAACTTGTCTCATGTATTGTAAATATGTTATGCTTGACAAATATTCAATAAAACGTCTGTCTAAAAACATGATGTCAATATATTGTTCCAAAATTTTTATCTTTATCATGTAATGCGTATTACGTTGTGATAGGTATGTCAGTTGTTTTTACAAATCATATCACTGTAGATGAAACTGATAATTATCCATATGAAAAATCGCAAAAGATAACCTAAAAATTGGTATTTGTAGTTAATTACTTAATACATGTTATTCAATGAAGAAAATCACGAATTCTGTAGCAACTTTGCAATGGAATCCAATGAAATATCTATCTGGACATTACACAGAAAATGTAGGAGTTGTAGTCTTAAACCGACCCATCAGGGCTCGACCAGATGATATCATTAATCTGTGGAAAAATGGTATACACTTAGAATTTAAGTTGGTTCTTATATCTATCTCTCTCTTATATGTTCATTCTAGTTATTAGTTCTAGAATTTAAGTCTGTTATAATATCATATGTTTATTTCTAGCTGTTATTCGAGTTACGGTGGACGGGGGCACAGATAGGTGGCTAAGCTTTGCAAAACAAAACAATTATGATTACAAATCGTTACCACCTGAAATGATTACAGGTGATATGGATTCAATACAACCACAAACTAAAGAACTGTTTATGAATTTAGGTAGTGAAGTAAGTTTTAACCATAGTTTATAAAATATCTGTGTGCAAATGTAATAATTGTCTTTTTAGGTAATCGATACACCGGACCAAAATGAAACAGACTTCACAAAAGCATTGAAAGAACTTACGCTTCGAGCTGAATCCCTTTCAATCAAGGTATGTGAAAATTGCCTTGTGTGGTAAAAATATATGATTCAATTATCCTTTTCCATTTTAGATGGATGCTATTGTAGCAATTGTAGAGACTTCTGGTAGAATGGATCAAATAATGTCGAATATCAATACTCTTTTCAAGGCAACCAAACTTTTACCAAAAACGAATATATTTATTTTATCAAGCGCTTCAATTAGTTGGCTTTTACAACCAGGACATCATGAAATACACATTCCAGAAAAACTAATTGCAGATAGAGCTTGGTGCGCCTTGATGCCTGTAGGAAATAAATGTCAATCTGTTACGACAACTGGCTTAAGATGGAATTTAAGTAAGTGAAATAGATTTGTCTTGTAATAGATGTTGAAAACTGTAGGTATTAACTTTGGGTATTTTCTGCTAGAGGGAGTTTCAATGGAATTTGGGGCAATGGTCAGTACATCAAACACATATGACGGTTCACCGACAGTGACAATCAACAACAGTGATCCTATATTATGGTCTATGAGTATGAAAAATTATAAAAGTTGATAATATTTTTATTTGGTATAAATTTGACATGCATCACATCACTAATGAGCCAAAATTTATTTTTGGAATAATTAAAATAGTTATTGATATCAGGGTTTATAACAGATTTATAAAATATGAATATGTCTATAAATACCTTCATTCCGGACTGTGATATCAATATATTGATAGATTTTGACATTTTGTGCCTCCTGTAGAAAACTATGTGGCACAATATAAAAATTTAATTTACTAGTAAAACTAATTGGAAAACATAGTACTACTATTATCACTTTTATTAGTTGACAACTTTGTTTGTAAATAACATGTTGACATATTTATAATTGAATAATTTATTTATTTATGTATTGAATATTAGAACTATACATTTATTATTACTTAATGTTTCACAGACTCTTTAGGAATGCTTTACTTTTTGCAATATGGAGTACTTAAAGTTGTTTCACCTGAAGATTGAATTTTTATAACTTGACAACTACCAACATACAAATATGAAATTATGTAGATTTGTCAAATTTTGTAAAAAGATATAGTTTTAAATAAATATTTTAAATTGTAAAGAATAAATGTTTTAATTTATGCAATGAAAAACTAAGTGCAAGTGGAAAATTTTATAAATTTCTTGATATGGGTAATTTTTTCTCGATAACGAAATGCGTCAAAATGGCGGCGATTTTAACGGCTGTAACGGCTCGAAATGCGCCTCTGTTCAAATCGTTATAAATAACTACTAATGAAATAAATAACAAGATTATTTTAAGAGATTTAATACACCATTGATAATGCTTAACAGATTCAGTTATGTTTATAATAAAAGCCATGTGAAATATGTAGAAAGCCAATGTGAACTTGCCAAACTTTGTAAAAAAATATAGTTTGAAATAAACATTTGAAGACGTAGTAAATGTTTTAATTTATGCAATGAAAGACTAAGTGCAAGTGGAAAATTGTATAAATTTCTTAATATGGCTATTTTTTTTCTCGATATCAATGCGCCAAAATGACGTCAGTTTTAACGGCTGTAACGGCTCAAAATGCGCCTCTGTTCAAATCGCCATCGTTATAATTAACTGCTAATGAAATATATAACAAGATTATTTTAAGAGATTTAATACACCAAACACATAAACCATTGATAATGCAAAACAGATTTCGTTATGTTTATAATGAAAGCCATATGAACATCCGCAAACAAAGGTCACGTTAATAATACGTTCTTCCTGATATCTGATTCACTCAAACTAGTAAATGTCTAATAAATTTATATAAAATGTAGTAAATTTGTATGGCTGTCAAAAAACAGATATATTTGATGCGAAGATACATTTAAGAAGGTCGTGCGTAAATGTTTGAAACAACGATAAATATTTATGTTCTCTAAAACATGTGGTGGTTTTAACTAGTAAGCAAATGCGGTCTTGTTATAGTAAACCAAGTCATTCTTAACTTTTATGATATCATGGATCCTTGCTTTTCATTGAAAAATGAAGATCTTTATCCACTTTTAGAAATATTTTCTCCAACTTCACATCCTTATTGAAGTTCCCTATTTATTTTTGCTGATCACGTCAATATGCACCATTTTTCAAACCATTTTTTTACCAATTGACAATTTTTGTAACTTGTAACTCTTTAATTTACTACCTCTATATATTAAAAAATTGAGTGTTCGTCAATTATTTAGCACCATTGTTGTATTTCAAAAGCCAAAATTATCTACGAGATTCCTGAATATGATAACAAATAATATTTTGCTAATGACTATGTTTTAACTATATAAGTATTCATTATTTACTGTTACAAGTTTAATTTTCTATTCACATGAAAATAAATAAATATATGTGTTTCTGCATATATAAAAGTACTCCAAATTATGATAATAATCTGATTATGACAATTCAAAATTTGTAACAAATTTAAAGATATAAGAGGATCCTTTCTCTAATTTTAGTGTCGGCTGTCCAAGGTGCCACCTTGGTAATTTTTTGGTTGCTGAAAACTTTTGTTCATTTATTTAAATTTAAGTCGCTTCATTTATATGTTGGATACACAGAAAAATATATATCTTTATTCTATAATTTCGTTATTTTTTATTCAAAAAGAAATTGAGTACGTCTCTGGCAATGTTGGTCAACTTTTAACGGCGCGATGTTTGAATGCGTTAAGTCTTGATGTCCAAGTGTTTAGTATGCGTTCACCATTCGATATGTGAACTAATAGCTTTAATAAATTCTAAAATTTAATTGTTTTTTATTTATTTAATTCATAATTAATTTATTTTTAATAACTCATCAAATAATAGTCCTTGCAAGTGATGTGAAAAAAAATTGTAAATAGTTGTTAGATTACCAAAAAGACAAAAATGCATTCAAATGTTTAAAAATAGTTAAAAATGTTCTATTAATCGGATTACTATTTTCTCAGGTATGTACGATTACGCATAACACACTAAACATTTTTTGTGAGTAACAAATAATTCAAAATAATAAACTGAAAATATTCGAAAGGAATTTCTAAACTATTTCTATGCGTTTGAATCATTTATAAATAGTAAATATGATGGTATCTAAACCGAGTAAATACGATAACTTATCAGTAACAAATATTCGAGAACGCATAATTGCACATTTTATTATGTTTACATAAACTATATAATGTTGTATGTATATTGCATTTATAGAGCTAGAGTTTGAAATAGAAATTTAAATTTTATTACACTAGACACATTCTAACAACTAACTACAAAATTCAAAATATTATTAAAATACTACAGAACCCAAATATAAAATATAGAGAAAAATATTTTACATGTCCATATAATGAATACTTGGACAAATATATTAAATAATGTACAACTGCATTTTAAAATTTAAAAAAATAAAATATATACTGCAATACATATTAAAGCCAAATAAAAAATTCTACATATCCATTTATAGAGTATTAAAAGAAGTATATTATATAGTGTGGAACCACATTTTAAAATTGAAAAAATTAAAACATTAAAATATATACTATGCGTTTCATTCTGGAACCAAACCCAAAATATAGAGAAAGAAATTTAATGTATATATATAGGATATTTGAAAATGTATATTAAATAGTGTAGAACCACATTTTATAATTTAAAAAATTAAAATACTATTAAAATATATACTGGTTTTCATTCTGAAACCAAATAAAAATTATAGTATAAAATATAGAGAATAAAATATAGAGAATAAAATATAGAGTATAAAATATAGAGAAAAATATTTTACATGACCATATATAGGACATGTGAAGATATTAAATAGTGTAGAACTACATTTTAATATTTTAAAAGTTTTGATTAAATTTAATATATAATTTGATACATGTTGCAACTAAAATAAAATATAGAAAACTATATATTCATGGTTATTCATAGAATATTTGAGGAAGTACAGGATTAAATTATTTAAAGATAACTTAATCAATGACTCTATCTAGTAAGTTTGATCCCTAGTTTTTTTTTTATTTTATATAAAACTAGAACTTTGATTTATATCTGAATAAATTGATTAGTTTATAAATAAATTTGTTAATAAATAAAAATCTAAAACAAAAAATCTTTAAGACTCTATTTATCCAAGTGCTATAAATGCTTATCGAGTAAAGGTTAAGTAGAGTAATAAAAATTTTATACTCTATTATTAATTCAGAAGTAAAAAAAGGGATTTGTATATGCTTAAGTATCAATATCTTCTATCTATCTATCAAATGATATATCTATAAAATTTATCAGTATTAATAAAAATATACTGGTAAATATAATAGAGAACGTAAAGTTGTTCAATAATAACAATAATATTTTGTGTATCGAACCATAAAAATGCATAATATACATAAATTTACAATATAAATACTGTATTTACGTGATCTATGTATATATATATATATATATATATATATATATATATATATATAAAATCAGGTCAAATATAATACGTATAATTATAAATAATTCACAGGATATTCTTTAACAAAACACATTTTATTTGCATTATTACTTAGAGAAGTAACCGCGATATACTGATATTTTCATAGCAAAAAATAAGAAAACATAAAAATAATAAATATAGATTTATATCTATTTATTCGAATTCAGTAAAATTTTATAATTATAACTAATTAGTTGAAAATTACCAGAATAGTTACATTCTCGATAGCTCCAAATGATCTCTAACCTCTAGTTGTATAATATCAATGAGTTCATTGCATCATCAGAATATTTTAGGAATTATATAAAATAAATTGTCTAATTAACATCAATTTTGTACAGAATACTAAATTTGTAAGTTACTAATAAAATAATGATTGTTTTTGCCCTAAATACGACTTTGGAAATTAATTTCGTTAATCGAACATCAATCGACATCAGAGAATACATCTAATTATTGTATGTGGAAATAATTGTTTTAGTTGTAATTATTTTTAGATCGTAGTAAATGACTAGTTTTTATTTGTATATAACTAGGAAATTGTTTTTTCATAGAAATAATTATTATTAATATTATTAATCTCTTATAAGCAAATATCCATCATGAAACATAAGTTATTTCATTGCCTGCATATATAGAAATTTATATTAAAATATTTAAGCGTGAGCTGATTAAAAACTAACTTACTCATTTTAGTTAAAATTTGTGAGCAAAAATAGTTTTGAGTAAAAATTATTTACTTCTGGAAGAAGTTTATGCTTTTGCTAATAAATCTGATTGCTGGTTTAGTTCAAAAACTACAAACCAAATTCATTCTCAATTGCTTGACACCAAAATTGAAAAAGGTGTGGGTACCAAATTTGGAGCCAAAATTTGTCTTCTTTCCTCACGTTTTCTTAAAGGTGGTTACTTAGATTTAAAAATTGCAAAAGGTATGGGTGCCAAATTTGAAGCCAAAATTTGTCTTTTTTCCTCAAACGTTTTCTTAAAAGTGGTTACTTAGATTCAAAATTTGAAAATAGGTATGGGTACCAAATTTGGAGCCAAATTTGTCTTTTTCCTCAATGTTTTTGAAAAGTGGTTACATCGAATTAAAAATCGAAGAGCCATTTGATGAACTCTTGTTGTTCAGATTTGAGAGACGATCAGCCGAGCAGTTTTTGAAAATAATCAGTAAGAGAGTACAAAACTTTTTTTTCGATTTTTTGCCAAAATTTCTAACCAATTTTGAAAATTTAAATTTGTTTGGCGATTTTTAAAAAACTTTGCAGTATGATAGAGCTCATGGGCAGAGCGACCCTTAAATTATATTTGGATCTAAATTTTCAGATATCACTGCTGCTTGATATCAAGTTCTCTGTATTAATCTCTATTTAAAATAATTTACACCATTTTCAATCAGAAACACATGCCATTTTTACCACAAAATAATTATTTTCCTATTATCATGTAATAGCCTTCACATGGCCTTATATTTTATTTTATTTCCTATTTCGTGGAAATCAGAGCAAGCTGTTAGAAATTGTATCTATAATAAAGATTCCAGATATAGATAAACAAACAGTTGGAACTAGATTTTTTCCCGGAAGGGCGTAGTTTTGTATTGTCAGTTGTATTTTATTTGTATTCAATCGATTGCCACATAAATGGACAACACTAAATATAGTTCAAGTACAGAAATAATTGCTTCTCGACCTGAAAGAATCGAATTGTCGATGTTGACACATAACGATAGTGGATCAACATTTTAGCCAAATAATAAATTGGAGTAATTAATTTATATTAATCGATTTATTTCCGCATTAACCAAGCCAATATTAGTACAAGTAAAACCAAAGTTAATGTTGGACGTTTTGGGAACCAGATTTCATTTACCATTATTTACCACGTCTGATGCTTCTTAATATTCTTAGAAAAAACAAGGATTTATATTATAAATATATACAAAACATTATTTATCTCGTACCATTGTCAGATTCTAAGCAAATAAATGCTGTATCAATATTGTGCTAATTATTTGTCACAACGTCCAAGTATTTAATGATTTAATCAACAAGCAAACAAAGAAAACAAATATATAATTAAATTAGCATCAATTTTATACTTCGGGCTAATCTGCAAACACATAACGTATGAATATCTTTGCTGACCTGATTAAAAAAATGAATATTACAAAATTTAAAAAAAAACATTATACGGTAATTTAGCCTAGTGATTCCCAAAAGTGTACTTTTGTTACGTAGTTATAGAATTTATTAAAGCTCTCCTTCGATAATTCAGGTTGTTGGGTTATAATTTAACCCTTGTAACTGTGGACTGTATTAAACACTGATTTGTTTGAAAATTTGATTAGTTTTTTATCTTGTTAATACAAGTAAAATTAGAATGATTCAAATCGGACGCTCCGTTTTCTTAAAAACTGAGTTACCGTTTTTGGCACTTTCTGCCCCATATCTTCGGAACGACTTGACCTGCTTTTGCCAAGAACTAATCAACACGTCTCCTTATCAATATGAATCGAATGTTTTTTGAATTATTCATATCGCTTCATCCATGTTCCCGAAATCGTCGACGAAAGTTTGTATCCGCACACACACACACGTACATCCATTTTTTCTAAAGGATGCCTAAATGTTCAGAAGGTTTTGAAACCTAAAAATATATAAAAATATTTATTTTCATTTTTTTTGCGATTACTATAACTTGTCCTACGGGAAGTTAATTAGGATGTTTTGATATCTCATTTATGTTGTGACTTCTGAGAATTTGTTGAAATTCTGGATAAATGCTTTCTTCTACCAGATGTTCCCCAAGATTTTATTGATATTGGTGTTACTAGATTTAATCCACTCCTCATGACATCAGGAAAAGATGATCCTTTTCCTCTTTACTTGATATTATGCCTTCTAAATTATATATATCCTCGTATAAATTCATTGGTTGGATCCCTAAGAATCGTGACCTCGTTTAATTTTACAAAGACTTAATTTAACGAACTGTAATTGAACGATGAATTCGTTCATGTCAGCTCGATGCACGATATTGCAATTGTACTAAGACATAAGACGTCTTCATCATCATTGAATTTTATTATTTTGGATGGAGAACTTAATTTTATATACTTGTATATAGCAACTATACCGAGTTCAATACATTAATTAATAAAACTTTGGGAGAAAGAAACTATCGACAGAGCACTGTTTACAAAGTTCAGGACTTCTTACTCCATTGACCTCATTTTGAACCCAATTCCTATATGATTCTATATATTATTTTATGGAAATTGCAGGGAGAATTATTATTATATCATTTAATAAAATCGTTTTAAAAACAATAACGAAATAATAAAAAATTCACATCATTGAGACGTCTGTGTCACTTCATGAATGAATCTTACTCATTTGCAGAATTGGTCAGGGCCAACTTGTTTCTCGTCTTAACCTTGGATAAAACGAAACCAAACATAAATTTTAATAATAAGAACAACGAAAAATTATATAATATATATATATATATATATATATATGTATTATATAATTTGGTTTATATAATTGGGCGTTACATCAACAAATGTTGTATAAATTTTCATAACATTATTTATGGTACAAGGATATCCTCATACTGGATGGAGATTTATTTTATTTTCAGTGTTGTTCAGAAATATGTGTTTAAAGTTATTTATTTATTTTACTTAAATTATTACAGATGAGCTACGCAATTTTAATTACTTAGTTTTATTTTCCAAAAGAGGCTAAAATGTTTGCTGACATATAGAGATCTTATATAAATTTTGAATTTGATGATCTAATAAAATTTCCTATATTTATAGTACTCGTATATGTTACGTCAATATAAAATTCAAGATTTTGCACATATTTTGTTTCTTTAATGTAAAATTTATTTACATTACATTTACATTTTTGAAAAAAGCAGCAACGAAATTAGGATGCTGGTCTTTATTGGGATAACAAAAAAAATGTTAAAAAAATTAAACATGATTAGTCTAATTATCTGGAATCATACATGATATATCAACTTTATTTTACATATATTTATGTATATATTTTATTTCAATTATTGTAATTATAGTTTTGTTCACAAGCAAAAAATAACATATGTTTGTGAAAAACCTGAATTAACACACTGGGTAAAAAAGCCTTGAAAATTATTCTTAATTGGAACTAAAGAATTTAATTAACGTCCTACTAGTAGATTAATGATAGAAACTACAATTATTTGATAAAATGATAATGATAAATTTAAATAAAATAAATGAAAAATAATGATAAATTGTTTCATTTTACTTATTTTATTAGTCAGCAATGCTGCTCTAAAAGTATTGCGCCAAAATTAAGTGCAAAAAACTGAACAATTAGTACGAATTTCATATATAACAAAAATTTATTCATATTATTCATTATTAATTATTTAACATTTATCTGCAAAGTTCATAATTAGATTATCTACAATAAAAATATGTCAGCCACCGTACAATGATAAAACTCAGAATTATTTCCACAGATTGAAGTTATTGTATTTTTCTTATGTTTTATCTAATCTCTATTAAATATTGATAATTTTAATTTCTTGAATAGTTATCAGCAATTTGATATTGTTTGAAAAATTAATTATTGTTGCAGCTGTTCGAAAACTTGGGGATATATTTTATTGAAAGATCATAAATCTTTATATTATCTTAAGGAAATAAATATATATATTATATATATATATATATATAAAATTAAAATAATGTAATTTAAGTCATACTTCAGATATGACATGATCGGTTTGTCATTGTAATTAGCATTTAGAAATGAACCTTTGTTAGAGAAATAAAGTAATTGCTGTATAATAAATTCTATAATATTCGTTAAATATTTTTTATTATGTAATAATTATGTTTAAAGAACTTTATATAATTAAAATCAACATACATTCATTGACTGCTTGTATTTTTTTCACTTTTTTGCTGGCGATATAATCTTATTCTTTGAACAGCTGTAATATCTGTCTTGCCTAAAAATATATTCCATTCTAATTACTTCAAAGATTTATAGAAACTACGAATAATATAGAAATAATTCCTAATCAATTAATCTATCAACGTACTAATCATTAATCTTATTAATCAATATTTTCAAGTAACTGAGTAAAATATTCTTCTGATTCGGACATTTTTTAGTAAATCAAGATTTGTACTACGATGTAAATTTAGGTTTTTTATTTATCTATGCCGATTTCCTTGTTGATGCCGTTACGCATACAACGACAGATCTCTATTCACAAATGCGACGACCAATCACAATCGACCCGTATAGTTATGATATCATCGTGAGCGAATGACGAATCATTGGCTCTCAACTATTATCTTATCTTATCTGCCGTAACGCACTTCCGTTGCATTTGTACGGATTTACACCCTACTCGCGCCTAGAGAAGTTTTACTTCAATAAATAAATATAAATAGATGAAATTATATGTGGGATGTGTATCATTGCCATTGCCAAAACAAAAAGCGTTGATGAATTATTTATCTAAATGGAACTGTGTTAGAAATTTTGAATTCCTCAATGTCTCTACTTATATGGTAACTTGGTTGCACGATTTGAATGAACATCTTCATATATTTTCTGATGGTTTTACAATTCTTGCTAATTATTTTATGGATGTAATATACAAAATCAGTGCATTATCATCAAGACCATATCAGATCAGACAAATATCTTTGGCATTTATTTGCTTACGTACATGTAGTCGTTTGAAAACCTAAATAATCTTTTGGATTTCGAATCATTCTCAATTATCAAGTACAATACTCGCTATCATAATGCGATTGTGATTACCTACACACGTGATGTTCGAGATATCATTTCGAAATTGAGTCAATTACCTATCATTTAGTTGCCAGACAACTGTCATTAATATTGAATGTGTGGGGATTAAGTTAAGTGATCCAAGGATTGAGGATTAGGGACATCCAGCTAGCTACAGGTAAGGGAAATAGAATTATTCTTAAGGAAGTCCTTGGTATAAGAAATATTGGGACCAAATTAAGTGATCCATCGATTGAAGATTAGATACTATTATTAGGAAAGTCCTTGGTATAAGAATTATAGGGTCTAAGTTAAGTGATCCAAGGATCAAGGATTAGAAACATCAAACTTGGTACAGGTGAGAGAAATAGATCTATTCTTAGGAAAGTCCTTGGTGTAAGAAATATTGGGACTAAGTTAAGTGATTCAAGGATCGAGGATTGCTAGATAGCTACAGGTGAGAGAAATAGAACTATTTTTAGGATAGTCTTTGGTATAAGAAATATTGGGACTGAGATAAGTGATCCAAGGATCGAGGATTGCTAGATAGCTACAGGTGAGAGAAATAAAACTATTTTCAGGAAAGTCCTTGGTATAAGAAATATGGAGACTAAGTTGAGTGATTCAAATAATGAGGATTAGGAACATCCAACTAGCTGCAGGTGAGAGAAATAGAACTATTTTTAGGAAAGCCCTTAGTGTAAGAAATATAGGGACTGAGTTATGTGATCCAAGGATAGAGGAGTAGAAACATCCAGCTAGCTACAGGTAAGGAAAATAGAATTATTCTTAGGGAAGTCCTTGGTATAAGAAATATTGGGACTAAGTTAAGTGATCCAAGGATTGAGGATTAGAAACATCCAACTAGATACAGGTAAGAAAACTAGAACTATTCTTAGGAAAGACCTCGGTGGATTAACCATGCAGCCCTAATGGATTTTAAATTGACGATTGAGAAGGTTTAAGAGGAGGATCCAGGGACTAAACTATATTAAATATAGTTCATATTATTTATAAATAACAATTTTTATCATGAGCTCGATGTTCTTTATGATAAATTTGGACATGCGACTTGTTCATTATTTATAGAATATTATTAACTTCAGTGAAAAAAATACCTAATATATTAAGTAACAATATGTAAACTAAATTGAAAAAAAAGTCATATCAGTGCACGATATTTAAATTATTTGAAAGGGTTATTCAAATATTTCAAGTGTTATAAATACAATTTGGCTTACGATAAGTTTATTATTAAACATATTGAAATTCAAAATTTTATAGAATAATCTAATTGATTTTAATCTAATTTCTGGGTTGGCAACTGTATTGAACAGATATGCAAAAAAGTCAATAAAATCAGTACATTTACGATATTGATACTGTTTGAATGAAGTAAATATTTGCGATAAAAATGATTTAAAATTATTTTATTTGAGTTAAATCATGTGTTTAATTGCATCTTATCAAAAGGAATTTTTAACGTATTTGTCATGCTTAATTATTTCCAGAATTTAAGTTTTAACAAAATTAATAGATAATTAAATTATTAATCTGCTAACTAATATATGATTAATAAACTTATTACTAATAAATATCTGTTAACAAATCTTAACTAAATATTTCTGTATGCTTCTATTATATAATTTTTATAATTTTTTTTTTAAGTGTACTACGATGAAGCTAGGTTTTGCATATTTTATATAATTAAGATCCTATTTCGACAATAACATCACCCGGAATTTTGCTCAACACCTTATTATTACTTATTGTATTGCAAAAACAGCATTTTGTTAAACAAATCTTATCACTTAGCACATGCTGAAAGATATTTCAATGTTATTAAAATATCAATACAACTCCTGATAAAACTAAGTACAATTCAAATCCTCTACAATTTGATTAAAATGGTATTCAAAATAATCAGTTCTGCAAAACAACAGAAATAAAATAATGTAATGAAAATAGTGTATAGGTAATATATATTATATATAGTGTATTGGTAACCTCAACGTTTTATTAGGTATTAAAATCTGGAGGGTGTCGGATTATTGTATTTTAGAAAAAAAGTCATAATTTTTAACATATGACTTTGGAAATAACGTTGAAACTTCCCAAAAAAAAACACAAAATTTGGTCGCGAAGGTGGCGGATTATTGGAAGGTGTCGGTCTATCAAAATTTCGGATTAGTGAGAAAGAGTCGGCTGTATATATATATATATATATATATATATATATATATACATAAAGTAATATTTATAAATCTAACCTTTTCCAGAAGTGAGGTCCACACCAGCCTCATCATGGGGGCAATGTTTCGCAGTGAGGAGATGGCGCTCTGCCAGATGTTCATCCAGCCTGAAGCCGCCTATTCAACTGTCTCCGAATTGGGAGAAGCTGGAACGGTTCAATTCAGAGATGTAAATAAAATAATCACTAATATAATAACTTATTGATAAAAAAATAATTTAGTGCCATTTCATATACATTACTACTATTAATTCACTTCTATAAACTCCATACAAACAACAACTAATCGGGTTACCATTCGGTGGTAACTTTCTTCCCTAATATAATTATCCACCAAAACTACTGAATTTCCTCGTTGTTTCCTCTTTATAACAACAGATTTAAATTTATAAAAGTAAATTTAAAAAAAATAATATCGGCCAATTTTTGCGAAAAAGTTATTCCTGGTATTTAACAAATTATTCTGAAATCTACTGATTAGACTTTTGTGTCCAACTCCACTTTGTGTTTTATGATTAAATATTGTACAATACTTATGATTATATAAAGGCTTTTTGTGAGTCAATACGTGATAGAATTTGAATAAAACAAAAAAATAATTCAGCAAAATTTTTCAGCAATTCAAAAACATTCTATAACAGCAACTTAAATTATCATGGACAAAAACGAGCAAATTTGCAATTGGATTTGAACTGGCACTGCCTCTTATGTAAGACACAGTAGTGCCCTATTAAAATCTGTAAATCAGTGCATTTATAATTACATTATTATTCAATAATACTGTTTATGGTATTTTAGTAAATAAATATCCAATAATGAGATTTTTACAATGATATTGACCAGTAATTTTGTTAGTATCGTATTGTTAAATTTTTCTGAATAAAGATTGTGATCACGTTTTGAGCATATTATCAAGAATGCAATGAAAAATATTATTATGTGAAAATTTGAATTTGTATGTTGATAAATATACTATACTATCTAAATTTGAAAAAATAGGAATACAATGTTTAATTTTTATATATAATTAGCTTATTTTTTGTTGTTCTGTTCAGTTGTCACTTTCATTATTTAAGAATATTTGATTTTTTTTTTATTTTTTTTACATTTTTTTATTTTATTGACCTTCGTTTTACAGCTACTGAGTGAGCTATTCCTGCCACTTTTTACAAAAATAGCAACTAGTTTCCGTAAATAATTTTTGAGGTTTTTAATATAAAACAATACAATATAACTATTTTTCTTTACTGTAAAAAATAAAATTAATTTATACAGTGTTAAACTTAGCAAGAAAGTAGGAAAATACATACGCGGTAGTATGTGGAGTTAGTAATCTTTTTAATTGATCGCGCTTACGCAAATGATTCGTAAAAGTACCCACTAATTTCCGTAAATAGTTTTATAGTACCCAAACATGAAACAATACAATATTTCCATTTTTCCAGTTGAATTCCGAGGTGAATTCCTTCCAGCGAAAATTCGTGAACGAGGTCCGACGCTGCGATGAAATGGAAAGGAAACTCCGCTACGTCGAAGCCGAAATCAATAAAGACGACGTGGCCATACCTCCTCTAAGCGAGTTGCCAGTCGCACCTAATCCGAGGGAAATTATTGACCTCGAGGTAACTAATAAATTTTTCAATCGAAATATTTCATGATCACGAATGCCGACATTGTAAAGGAAATCCCTCGTGGTTAGTATTTAGAGCTACGGGATTTTAGAATCAGAAAGTTTTGATGTCAAGCAGTAGTGACATCAACTATAATTTAAACTAATAGATAGTAATATGTTTCCAAGTGCAATTAGCTTTTGCCAGGCACTGCTGAATCAATAAAATAATTAATAATTTTTTTTTGTTATTTTTAAACAGCAATCAGAACTTAATAGTCCTATAAGTTGTTATGCTGATGTTGACTTAATACTAGTCTTTTCGACAGATGGCAACCCAAACACATCTGTGTACGTAATTAGAAAATTTATTAAAACTCTCCTTCGATAATTCAGGTTGTTGGGTTATAATTTAACCCTTGTAGCTGTGGACTGTATTAAACTCTGATTTGTTTGTGTATTATGTATTTGTTGCAGTTCTAATTACAAGCCTTGTTACTAAGTTATAATGAAAGAAGATATATTTATTGGTTATTTATTATACATGTTGTTACGCGGACTTTACTTTTAGAAGTAAACAACTAGTTTAATTAAAATACTCCTCTACCCCCTCTACCAGGGGTAGCAACCATTCTGTGTAAAGCTAAATGCCCTGAAAGTTGTCACCTTCATGGCCAATATAATAAAACGAAAGTACGTCCGAACACCATCTCTGTATAATATATTATTATTACAATTTCTGTAATAGGGCAAATATCTCACTATTAAAAAAATTGTAAAAATAATCATCAAAAAAATTAGGACAAATATTTGGGTGTCATCTATAAAAACCAATGTAGTTAGTTAAGTCAAAGCATCTAAACAGCTTATAGGATTGAATTTGGATATTTATTTTGTAAAATATAATTTTATAAAATTGGAAACACATCAAAGTCTAAATTTATTTATGAACAGAAAGTAGTTTACAGATTGGCTGGAATTTTTTAATGAAAATTCATTAGATAGGAAATTTATCGATCTTCTTTTCCAGATACCTAGTAAATATTTTAACCGAAAAATTTAATCATCATGAATATAGATAATATGGAAGGCATTAAAAAAATATCGTATATTTCTTAAAGAAATTCCTGGGTAATTTATTTACCCAAATTATATAGTTTGAATCGATGTCTGAATGAGAAAATTGGGGACGTATCAAAGTCAGTATTCAATTATGAATACAAAGTATTTTGATAGGTATTTATTTACTAAAATTTCTTTGATAAGGAAATTATTGATCTCGAAGTAAATGTTTCAATCAATAAATGAATTTTGTCATAAAAATATCTCTTGTTTTGTGAAGAAACTGCTGGGTAATTTATTTGCTCCAATTATATAATTTGAAACGATTGAATCCAGTACCAATACAAAGTATTTGAAAAGTGAAAATTTTTACATAGGCCATGGTAACTTTATTAGATAGTTTAGTTAAAAATATATCAAGAAAACTCAATGTATCAAAAAAATTACAAAATTTCTGGAAAAACACTATTTTTCATAGCATACATATGTGACTGACATGGCCCTATATAAAGCTTTTTTTTCTCCTTCCAATTCTTTACTCTCAAATATTGTCAATTTAGCTTATAGGAATCCTTATGTATTTCTGATTGCTAAATAAAACAGAGTAAAAATCGTATCTGTCTGACATGACACTCCTTAACGTGAGACATGGCAACTAACGTGTTATAATTTTAAATATTGATGAAAAATATAAATATTTTATTTTTTTACAGGCCAGACTGGAGAAGACTGAAAATGAGATTATGGAACTCTCACAAAACGCTGTGAACCTAAAGTCAAATTTTCTGGAGTTAACGGAATTGCTTAATATTTTAGAAAAAACTGAGGTAATAATTTGTATTTATAATTGTAAATATTTGTTTTACCCATGTGTCCATAAAAGTCCATTACTACGACAAAGTTTCACGCCATGCGAAAATAAACACGTCTATTATGCTTTCTCATCATTGCATTAAATCTATTTTCAGAACATTACTACTCGGATATTCTATTTGTACTAATTTAAAATGGTTTAGTATTTATTTACGTATACAAAAAACAACAAAAACCCTTTTGCCGGTAATAAAATGTAACATAGAACGAGGAAATAAATTTCTTGTGCATTTTCAAAGTAGTCATGTAGACCTGAACTTCCTGGTTTAGCATAAATCATTATAATGATAATAATAATAATGTAAGTAATGGTACAACTGCCTAATTAGAAGTCCCAAATATCTATACACCAATAATTTAAAAATACAATATAAATTTAAATATACAAATAAATACAATTTTTTTGCATAATAAGGCATCTTGCAACAATTCCTGATTAGCAATATTCAAATTATTATCGATTCAAAATAAAACAAGGATTCGCAAATAATTGGTATAAAAATTATCTATGTATTATTACTTACGCATTATTTTTATATAACGAGTACTTTACAACTGCCCAATTATAATCATGATTATGAATATAAATTAATTAAAAAGTCAATTTTCAAATGTATGTTTATACCTGACCAAGGCAGCAATTCTTTGATGTTTTCCCTACTATGTATTTTCAATAACTGCTGAACACAAACTAAATACTAGCTTATCAATTTAGATTGATTATGTCACTAGGTGACTTGCTTTATTTATTGACAAACTACTTTATCATTAAAAATATATTATATATACAGAAACGATAATTGTTTAGGTTGCCATCTGTAGAACCAATTAGTATTAAGCCAACTTTTTAAAGGATTCTTAAGTTCTGTTTGGTGTACAAGCATAATTAAATTCTTAAATTGTTAAAATAAAAAAAGAAAATGTTATCAGAAACACATATTACATCAATTAAACTTCTAAAATCCGAAATAAAAAAAACTGCTCTTTTAGATCACTTTTCACAAAAAAAAACCCGATCGTTAATTGGGTAGTAAACACTTAAAGGGGTAGTAAACACTTATATTTAGATAATTCCGTGATATTTTTGAATGATCTGAATGAACCTGTATCAAACTGCATTAAAATTAATTCAATTCTTTAGTTTTGTTTCGAAAAAAATGTCAAGTTCTTGATTTAACCCCTGTCCCATAAACAACCGGTACGCAAGATTTGGTTTTAACCTGAAATGTAGCTGAGCTCGAGGTTAGTGCACAATGCATGGTACCGGTTAGATATGGAACATCGAATTTAAAGCGCCTTAACATAAAATAATCATAATTTTTCATCACGTTTAGTATAATTTTAGAGTTGTAGGATGTATACAGTGAAATCTGAAGATTATCTATGTTTTTACCGTCTTCTCAGCAATTTTTCGCCGAACAAGAAGCTGCAGTTACCCCAGATATGATGCCTGCAAACGCCGTCCACGATGATGGAACCCAACAGGCCGTCAACCGGGGCCGACTTGGGTTCGTGGCAGGTGTGATTCAAAGGGCCAGGGTTCCAGCTTTCGAGAGAATGCTTTGGCGTATTTCTCGAGGAAACGTATTTTTGAGAAGGGCGGAATTGGATAAACCTTTAGAGGACCCCACTACGGTAAGAGCAGGAATAAAAACTAGTGCGGCGCATGGCGTCGTGCCTTAAGGCAAATTGCTAGAACTTTCCGTACCAAAAAAATTTTTTTAATAATTTTTTGGGAAAAGTGGTAATTAGTTTTTTTGCGAAGACGGGTCCAGTCGTCGTAAAAATAGCAGTTTTTGAGAAAAATAAGCAACCACAATAATTTAGATATTCAAATTTTTAATTCGATCTGGGAAGTTCCAGCAATTTGTCTCAAGGCACGATTAATAGAAAAATGTGCATAAAATAATAGAAATAATTTAAGCTGATTCGGATCTGATCTGTTTTGATTCAACAATTGTTATGGTTGTATTGGTCGGATAAAAAGAAATACAGGTAGAGGTATATTACTTTGCTTCAGAATATATTGACGCAAGCGGTCATTCAAACAAAAATCGATTGTCCGTTTTCAAATATGAACAGTAGGTGCCGGCTGCAAAAATATAATTGATAGGCATTTATAACGATATAGTAACTTTAAATAATTTGAAAATTTTAAGACTTTCACGTAACGGGTGGTCCATCAAGTGGCCCTAGTGATCTAGTGATCTTAATGTTTAGATATTTCTGTAAAGGAAACATATAAAGCGTTATACATCGTTAGAAAGATCTCAAAATTCTTAGTTTTTGTCCCATATATCGCAACTTCGAATTCCGCACTGTGTGGCCTACAGGCAAGTTGCTATCGATAAATTCCAATTTTTAAATGGCCCACCCTATATTATAAGATTTAAATGCAACTACTGCAGGGTATATATTCAATGTAATATCGCGCTATTTTTATTTTTCTAGGGCAATGAAATATACAAAACTGTCTTTGTTGCATTTTTCCAAGGAGAAGAATTAAAAACTCGTCTGAAAAAAGTGTGCACTGGTTTCCATGCATCTTTGTATCCTGCCCGAGTGTCCCAGCCGAACGCGAGGATATGCTCATGGTGTAAAAACTAGACTTGCTGATTTGTGAAAATGGTAAAATAATTAAAATAATACTTATAATTCAGAAGATGATATTTAATAGTCGGTTTGTTTTCCTAGGCCTAAATAAAATGACTTGTTTATCCATTTATTCTTTATCTAGGTCCTAAATCAGACTCACGACCATCGTCATCGCGTTTTAGTGAGCGTCGCAAAAGAATTAATGAACTGGAAGATTATGGTGCGCAAGATGAAAGCAATTTATCACACGATGAATTTGTTCAACATGGATGTGACTCAGAAATGTTTAATAGGCGAATGCTGGGTGCCCGTTAATGATCTAGAACTCGTGCAAAAAGCTTTGACAGACGGCTCAGTAAATACCATTACCATACCATTGCTGTTTTTCATTTCAAGTTGAAGTAGTCCTAAGTTTTTATGATTTTTGCAGG